TTGACGCAAAAATCATGGACTTTGCTTCACAATACACATTCAATAGCATTTCATATACAGTTTAAAAATGCACACAAAACGCAACGAGCGTGCATTTTACTACAAGCTCTGTGACAAGTATGAAGAGAAAAATAAGAGAAAAATAAAAACTGACTCAAACACAGTTTTAAAGGACAGAATCCATTTAAAATGATTTTATGTAGAGTGAAAAAAAAAAAAGATAACATCTTTTTGCTTCAACAGTGCACAGCCAGCAAATCACAGCTTCCAGTCTGATATTATCTCTAATGCAGAGGAGGTTCTTCCAACATTATGGAACATGATGTTTGGTAGCACTTTGGCTGCATTTGAAATATCATTTTAACTGGGTTATAGCCTGCAGCTACATGTGCGCACTTTGCTTTTAGTGAACCGTAAAAATCTGCAAGACTCATGTAGGGAACTCAATTGTTCTGTTGCTAGATTTTGCCATCCAATATGTTCAAGAAAATACACAGGCTGTTTCTTTATTTCTAACATTCAGACATTTTATTTTCCTTTGACTCTTAAGATTTGTGCAGTAAGATGTGGTTATGTCTTTAAAATGTCAGCCGATGACTCTTCTGACCCTTATGTAAAATTTCAAAAATAATTCTTAAATTTGGAAAAATACCATAGATAGGCCCACCAGTACAGGTCACAAAGAGACTTTGTTCTAACCAAAACTGCCTAGTCATGTGAAGAAATCAACACTTTGAGAATTTATCCCACTATTATGGTATCCATTTTGCAAAGGGGTTTATTTACTGAACACAGAATTGTAGTGAATTGAATGCCAGAGTTTAGGTCAAATAGCTGATACAGAAAAAAATATTCAAATATGCTCTTGTAACAATTTGTTTATATAAGCCCTATTTGTGGCATTGTATGTTCATTTCACTTGGGTTTTGTGTTTAGTGAGTATGTCACTAAGTGGTGAAAAGTTGACTAAATGTCACTCGTCAGCAGAGAAAGAAGATGCACCAATAAGCCGTGGTTAATTATTGAAAGAAAAATGACAATCCAAAAAATATTTCTCCCGTGTTTACATTTTTTTTTTTATATATTTTTATTGGTTTTTATTCAATACAAAAACACATTAAATAGACAAATGCAAACAACACATAAAATTGTACATATGCAGAAAAAGGATTGAATTTCATATATTTTGCTATCCCACAAATATTCTAATATACAAAATATCTGTCCCAAGTTTAAAATATTACTGTATTACTATTTAGTTGCTATTTTCTTTCCCTTTTTCTCCCTCTTTTTTCTTTGTTTCCCTCTTCCTTTTCTTTTCTTTCCCTTTCCTGGTTCTCGATCCTTCCAAGAAGGGTTACCGATACTGTTTGATTTAGCTATTTATATTAATAAGTCCCTTTCTTGTACATAAAAAAAAACACACACAAAATCCACATCTTAATTTGTTCAGTCACCGAGAGTCCGCAACTCTTCAATTGCCCTTTATGTTATTTATCTATGATACATGTATTGGTCATTTTAATGATTTCCTTATCCCATAATTCTGAAGCTTTATTTGTATATTTATTATAAGTATTTTCCATTCTCGGCTGAAAAAAATAGTTGTAAGCTTATTTGAGAAAAAAAAAACTCTCTCATGGTCATTCTTCCAATTTCTAGCCACAACAATTTTACGACATGCTTTTACAGGACCACTACATAAGGATATAATTCCCATTTTCTGTCCCATATCTCCAACAGTTTTCATTTACTCCATATGTGAATGCTGATTATCTTGTTGGGGTCATATACCATACATTTACAACTTTAAACTGTGTTTCAATAAATTTAAAGAGAATGTAGATATTTATTTTTTATTTTTGACTAGATAAAAACCAATCATTTTCACATATATTAATCTTTAAATCTCTATTTCATTTTTTTTTTTTTTTATTGTGGGAGGTGTTTTTTTTTATTTTTTTTATTCTCTTCCATCAATCTTACACATCGGGAGAAAAGATGTTTTGATCTATTACCTTTTAGTATATCTTTCATAATGTTACCATTTGATACTATTGAGGTTTGATCCAAAAAGTGCTTTACTCTAATATAAGAGAAGGACTCATTGTTTGTCAACTGAAACTCTCTCATTAAAAGATTGAAAAATTTTATCTTATTGTTTAAGAATAGATCTTTTAGAGTATCTATATGTCTAAATTTCCAGAATGTTTAAGAAATATTTATTGCTCTTTCTAATACATCAATATTCAAAAAATCCAATATTTTCTTTTCCAATCCCAGTCTCATTTTCAATTTACCCATATTGGCATTATTTGATTTAATATAAAATAATTTGAGTAATCCCATTTTTTGTGTTCCATATTAAATCTAATGGGTTTTTGATCTGAATGGCTTCCATTTCTATACTATACCATGTCTCTAATTTACTTTGCTGTAACTGAATTATCATTATATGTATGGCTATGCCCGCCTCATAGTATTTTATTATGTCCGGTTCCCATTCCCCCAATTTTATTTGACAATATAGAGTTCTTAATTCTTGGTATTTTTTCCTCTCCAAACAAAGTCTGAGAAGGCGGACTTCAGCATTGTCAATCATGGTGTGGGAACGGCCAGTGGCAAAATCCTGAACATATATATCCATTTCGGGAGTACATATGACTTCAAGATATTGATCCACCCACACGAGGAGACCTCCAAATGACACCATTCTTTTATTTGCTTCTTTTAGAAGTTCCATAATTTGTATATACATTAATCTTAAATTTTTGCATATCTTTATCCCCAAATATGTAAAAATCTTGGGGTGATGAAAACTATATTGTTGTTGATAACCTTTTATATCATTTTTAGAAAAATTTATATATACAGCAGTAGATTTTAAATTATTCACTTTGTAATTTGATACTTGACTGTATGTGTCTAATTCTTCCATGGTATATTGAAGTGATGTTGAAGGATTAGATAAAAAAGGATAACATTGTCTGCATAAACCGAGAGTTTTAACTTGCTCTGTGTTGTAGAATGACCCTTTACCATATTATTTTGTCTAAGTCTTAATACTAATATTTCAATAGTTGGTATATATAGGAGAGGAGATAGAGGACAGACTTGTCTCGTACCATTTTTTTAATTCAAACCAATTTGCACATATGTTGGGGCCTGTTGTCCTTGCCGTTGGTGCTTTATATAATGATAAAATTGTAGTTGATATCCAGCCTGACAACCCAAACGCTTTAAGAGTAGATTCCTCAAAATCACAGCTAACCCTTTTCAGCATCGAGGGACAGGATTAGCATTGGGATCTCCACATTTATAGGCTGAATCTATTACATTAATCAGCCTTCTAATATTATTACTAACCATTCTTTCAGAGAGAGAACCTTATTTAAAATATAAATATTTAATCTCTTTTCTAAAAACCATTCCCAAATCCATCGGGTCCAGGTGTTTTTGTAAACACAAAAAGAATTCAGCGCTAGTAATCACAAAATTAGTCAAGGTAGGCAGCAACCCAAATGAAGGAAAACCCCTCGGGTCCTTCGGTGGATAGATATAAAAAGATATGGAAGGGCTGCGCCAAATAAGGGTAGATAGTCCAGTAAAGTATTGCTAGGCTGCCAATAGATGGTCTAGGATACTTGATAGAGTTCCTCTGTGGATGCGTCTGGTGTAGACCGTTCCGTATATGTAAATACAAGAGAGGTAGAGGCGACTAATGGTATAGTATGAAAGTTCAGGGTGTGATAGGTAACAAAAAGTAAAGAACTCACATTCAGGAGAGCTATGGCCAGCTCTGGTGTGGATTGCGTACAGCGGTATAATCCCCGCTTATGGGATATGTAGGGAGGGGTCTCCGTCAGCACCGTCTGGTAGTTTTTGTGTGTTTTTGTACCTATGTAGATTGTCTATAGCTCTTATTGTTTCTTCTTTTGATATTTCTTTATTTATTAAAGCTATTTGTATTGATGTAAGCTTAGGAAAATTCACAGCATTAATATATTCATTTACTACATCTAATGGAGTTTTTTTCTGGGAGATTATATAGTTTTGAATAATACTGATTAAAAGCCTCCCATATCTCCTCAGGAGATAAGCATACATTATCGTTTGAAATATTTTTTTCTGCGATATTGCTTGAGTTTCTTTTATTAGTAAATTAGATGATATCTTATCAGCTCTGTTATATTTATGATAGTATTTTATTTTTAATTTTTCCATATTTTTATTCTCTCTATAGTTTTGTTTTGTATCTCTTTTCTTTTTTAAACTATTTTTTGTTGCATTTCCTTAGGTTTATGATTTTCTTTAGTTAAATTATATAAATCAACATGGAGAATAGCTAAACTTGCTCCTGATTTATTTTTTTTATCCCTTAATTTCTTTAACTTTATGCAATGTCTCCTAATTGCTTTATAAGAGGACCAAATGATCTCCTCTTCTACCTCTCCTTTGTATTTTCTTCAAAATAAAATTGAGTAATTTTTTCCAAGTGATCTTTATATTCTTTTTTATTCAGCAGAGATTCATCCAGTCTCCATGTTGTTTTTGGGTAACCTCCTCTATTCTTTTTCAATTCTAGAATTAACACTATTGTAGTCTGACCATGGTATTGAAATGCAAAAAACAAATATATACAGCGAGGAAATAAAATAAAGTGTGATAGCTGTAAAGCTATAAACCCCCTGAGTGGAAACCCCTTACACCACTCAACAAATAGGAAGCAAATACATACAATGTAGAGGGTAGGTCACACTTAAAATACGTCTGGTATCCAATGACTGGGTGCGAGAGGATGCACTTATTATACACTGCTTGATGTGCAGGATAACATGTGATAGGCTTGCCACCTTACACAGCAGTAATGGAGGCTGGCTACCTCACACAGCAGTAATGGAGGCTGGTTACCTAACACAGCAGTAAAGGAGGCTGGTTACCTCACACAGCAGTAATGGAGGCTGGCTACCTCACACAGCAGTAATGGAGGCTGGTTACCTAACACAGCAGTAAAGGAGGCTGGTTACCTCACACAGCAGTAATGGACCTCCATTACTGCTGTGTGAGGTAACCAGCCTCCTTTACTGCTGTGTTAGGTAACCAGCCTCCATTACTGCTGTGTGAGGTAGCCAGCCTCCATTACTGCTGTGTAAGGTGGCAAGCCTATCACATGTTATCCTGCACATCAAGCAGTGTATAATAAGTGCATCCTCTCGCACCCAGTCATTGGATACCAGACGTATTTTAAGTGTGACCTACCCCCTCATTGTATGTATTTGACCATGGTATTGGTTTAATTTCTATTTTATGAGTTCTCTCTATTAATTTTGAATTACCCAAATAGAATCTATCCTAGAATATGAGTCATGAGGCCATGAATAAAATGTAAATTCTTTTGATAAAGGGTTATTAATTCTCCATATATCGAATAAAGCTTCCTTTTTCATGATGTTATTAAAGGTTCTGGAGTCTTTTTGACATTTTTTTTTTATAATGTTGTACTTTATTATTTGGAAATCTATCTAGCAATGGATCATGAGTACAATTGAAATCTCCTGCAATTATATACAAGATTACTTTTTCTAATCTTTTTAATACTTGTCTCACGAGACAGAGGATTTTTATTGGGAAGGTATACATTTACTAGGGTGCATAGTTTATCATTAATAGTACATACAGTGAGCATAAATCTATCTTCCGTGTCTGTCAATAAATTTAACATTAACTTTTAAATATTTTGAAAAAAGAATTGCTACCCCAGATTTTTTCCCAGTTATTCTAGATGCACACCCTTTTAAAAGGGAATTCCTTACTATTCCATCTTTTCTCCTCTATCTGCCTCCAATAAGTCTCCTTTATAAATGCCACTTGTATCATTTCCTTTCTCAGATAGTCTTGAAATGCCCATCTTTTTTTGTGGGATATTGAGTCCTTGTATATTGAATTCAATCTAATCATATTTTATGATTTTAATTGTTTTTCCTGGGATAAGTAAGGGGCTCTCGGTGACTAAAATGCATAACAAAATCATAAATATTAGGTACATACATAGAAAACATACTTTTAACAAGACTAAAACAGTCTTACAATGGGCTCTAAAAAGTCATTACACTATTCTTACTGTGTATCTTATATACACACACTAAAATCCTATCAGGGTTTATGGCAGGGGGCATAAGTAAGGGACGAGTAAGGGGCTAGGGAAGAGTAAGGGATTATATCAAATATTTCCAACTGTCCATCAGTTATAATCTTGAGTTTATTTGGATAGCCCCATTAATATTTTATGTTATGCTTGCACAGAATATTTGTTGCAAGAGCAAATCTCTTTCGCTGTGATCTGGTATAAAAAGACAGGTCTTGATTAATGATATGTTTAAATTCATCTTCTTTGATAATCTTAGATAAGATAGCATGCATAATATTTTCTTTTAATTGAAAAGATTGGAAATTAATTATATCTTTTGGATATTTATCTGCTATTGCTTTTGGTTTATATTGACGATGATATCTTTTCATATTTATGTTGTATTTGGAAACTTCTATATCCAATGCAATCTAAGAATTTTTTTTAAGAAATCTGGAATATTTTCTTGCGTGATCCACTCTGGGACGTTGCATATTCTTAAATTGTTACGTCTTGTACGATCTGAGTCCCCTAACTTTGATTCCATATTGCTTAATTGGTTTGTCAGATGTAAATTTTGTTCTCTCAACCTGTTTTCTTGATGTTCTAAATTAATAATTTTCTCCGTTTACTTGTAGTCTTGAGGAGAGGTCTTTTAGTTGACTTTTAATTTCTACTATGTTGATATTAATTTGGTTTGTAATTGCCTCTAATTGTGTCTCCAGGCAAGTTTTCAGGAAGTCAGCTGTGATGTAATTTTCATTTTGTTCAGGGAGATTTGATGAATCTTCCATCCTTGTTGAGGAGAGAGATGTATTATCTATTTTTTTATTTTTTTATTTTATTTTGTCCTTTGATGACTTATTGGAAAGAGAAAATTTGAGGGTTCTTTTTCCACTTTTTCCTTTTTTTATAGGAATTTTCTCTGAGGATTTGGTTGACATTTTCAACTACTGTCAATCCGATTCCTAGGTTGGTAGTTTTTTATTATCCACTTAAAGAGACACATATCTAACCTATTCAGTTCTTTCTTTAATTAGCTTAGTTTTCTTAGTTTACCTAATTAAATATTTACAATAATTTTTAACCTTCAGGATTTTTCCCACTCTCATCACCAATCCTCCAGAAATATTATTAGAAATATTAGGATTCACTCAAGAAAAAAATAGCTTTAACAGAGTACAGGAAAAATAAAAAATATACTCTGTCCATTTTAGGACTTGATTGAAGGGAGAATAATAGTTGTTTAGTTAACTTTGCCCCTTTCCTTCCCTTCTCTTTACTTCACTTCTGTTATCTTTAATTCAGGGAGTATCATTTATAGACTTTTACTTTTATCTCCCTTTTTTATCTTCCTTCAGAGGGTATAGTTGGGTTTAACTTCTATTTTCTTCTTTATGTCCTCCTATTCATATTCCCTTAGTTTCCTTCCTTTTCTTTTTTTTTTTTTAGATCAAATAATATTAAGACATCAGTTATCTGACTCCATTTGCTTGCCCAGGACTCTCGAGTCAGTTTTTTTTTTTAACTCTCTCCCTTTGGCTTGAAACTTTGTGGTTAGTGTGGTCAGTGTTTGTTCCTCACTTCCTCGCTTCGGATTTATCTTTTTCAGATGTATTAACGGAAGGTCTTTCTCCTCTCCCCAGACTCCGTTCTTTCTGTTCCTTTAGATCCTTCAGATTTCCAGATCTATTTTACCTCACACTGGCTAAATTAGCTGGAGACTGCAGCTGTCATGTTTGCGTTCTTCCCTTCTGTCAAGACTCCATCTCGCCACCTTAGGATGCGTTCATCCGGCCACTCTACATCACGCAACCCGTTTTTAAATTTTCATGATTTATGCACATAATTTGATTTGTATCACGTGCAGTATACAATAAAAGAATAGGTCACACAGTGGCTTGCTATGTCCTTGATTTAATATTGTTGGATACATTTTCCAAATGATCTAATATTTTTAGATCAGCTATTAAAATATATATTTAATGTATTAAAATATACAAAAAATAAATCAATATATTAAAAATATTAAAGTATTACAACATAGGTTTTTTTAATAATATTAAATAATTTTAAAGATTTTCCAAACATGTTAAAACATTTGGAAACCTTATCCAACAATAATGAATCAGGGCCTATGTCCTTTAAAACCAGGTAATATTTAAAACCAGGTAATACTTGTAGATAGTGATGTCCCGAACGGTTCGCCGAACTGTTCGCGAATCGTTCGCCACTGACTCATATTGAGTAAACTTTGACCCTGTACCTCACAGTCAGCAGACACATTCCAGCCAATCAGCAGCAGACCCTCCCAACTCCTGGACAGCTCGCTAAGAATGCAGCTTCAAAATGGATGCTGTCCAGGAGGTGGGAGGGTCTGGGAGGGAGGGTCTGCTGCTGATTGGCTGGAATGTGTCTGCTGACTGAGGTACAGGGTCAAAGTTTACTCAATGATGAGTCCATGGCGAACCGTTCGCGAACCGTTCGGCGAACCGTTCGGGACATCACTACTTGTAGATAGTGTGTTAAAAATGTATATGACTATATAGTAATTTAAAAAAAAAAAAAAAAAAAAAAATGTAAAGCATATTTGTTCTAACTTTCAGATTGCCATTTGGATCTGACCGGTTTGTTTTAATTCAACTTTATAACCTCTCTGGCCAGTTTTGCATCATAGCTAGATTTGAGCATTTGATTTCATTCAAATTTAGATTTGGACTGAGTATGGCTGTTTGGCCAAATTTTGGATCTCCAAAGTGACATGAAGGCATAAAACCAAGCAACTGACAAGGTGATGCCCAAATATATTTGGATACGTCAGCATTAGGGGTTCGCCAGTGGTGCCAAAAAAGGATGATTGATGGGGGTGAGGGGGAAGAGGGGCTGATTTGAACAGTCACATCAATAAGCGTTGGACATTCCAAACACAGTTACAATTTCAGGAAAAAAGATTGGACTAAATAGTCTCTTTCAAATTTAAAGGTTCACACAAGACTATTATTGACTATTTTTTTTATTATGCATTATGAAGATAGTGAGATATATGCACAATAGGTGGAGCACTTTAAAATGAAATGTAATAACAGTAGATGTGGTACTTAAAAATTAGTGTATAGTAACCTATAAAGAATAAAAATAAAAAGGAATATGTCACCCTCACATATTTGGAGCCAGTGGAGATATTGACTCAAATTTAAAAGCAACAGTATACTTTTGGGAATAATATCCCCTATTATGTACGGTTTCTTGTGGATCTATAAATAAGAGGGATCTCATAGTGTAACACTGTAAAATATGAACCAGTGGAACGGAAAGAAATACACTCACATGGTCCAATAAGGAATTATGCCTATCTGAATCTATGATAAGGATCCACAAGTCTTCCACCGGGATAACAGCAAATTCTTTATTTCGACACTTTAAAAATCTTATTAAAACTCTAAAATACCATAGTGAAAATATAAATCCCAAATTGGGTAATAAGGTATAAGTCCATTACAGTTCAGTTCAGTGTTCTTGATCCCCTACGATGCACCAGGAGACTTCTTTAGTTGATGGGTAGGTGTATTCACTTCTTTTCTCCTCTTTAAATGCTGTACAGATACCGCCGATGATCGCTTCAACTTTTCATAATTTCAGGAACTGTGTATGCGTTCCAACAGATGAAGTTCCTGTATTTAATGTAATATAACTCTGGCATTTGGGGGCTACTCTGGAACAAAACAAAGTTCCACCTGTGAAGGTGATTGATATTTTACCTCTACTATACACCGTGTCATCGTGGATACCATTTTAAATTAGAAAAATATAATTCACAAATAGATGATAACATTGGGAATATGTTGCATCTCAAAGAGATACATGTAGGCATTGGTGATTGCGGCTCCCATTGCTGTGATTGCTAATTGGCAATAAAAAATACTCTCACTTTAAATAGTTGTAAGTTAATGCTATTTTCAAAAAAATC